TTAACGTAATCCACTGTTCACTGCCTGAATTTGAAATCCACTATTCACTGTTTGAAATCCATTATTCACTGTACGTGTTGTCAACCTCATCCCTCTACCGTAATCCACTATTTAATGTCACGTAAGAATTCGAAAACCACTATTTACTAAAACCACTATCCACTATTCATTGTCTAAATTTGAAATCAACTATTCACTGTACGCGTTGTCAACTCCATCCCTTTAACGTAATCCACTATTTAATGTCGAAAACCACTATTTACTAAAACCACTATTTACCGTAAGCGCGTCGACACCCCCTCATCTATTCCTCGCGCCTGCAGCAGGTATATTTTGTCTGAAATCCACTACAAGTTTATCAAAAACCACTATGCAACTAACGAAAACCACTGTGACTGTGCAATTAACGGAAATCACTATACAATTAACGAAAACCACTGTACAATTAACGAAAACCACTATGCAATTAACGAAAACCACTATGTAATTAATGTATTCCTTTACGAAAATTTAATGTAAACTTATTGAAAACCACTATGTAATTAATGTATTCCATTACGAAAATCCACAACAAGCATATCAAACTACAACTATCAAAATCCACAACGAAAATTGACCGAAATCCACTACGAAATTATTGATATCCACAATGATATTATCGAAATTTACCACAAACTTATCCAAAACCACTAAAAACATACGTAATCCACTACTAACACAACTCAAAAATAACAAACAAAAAAACATAATCTACTATTTGAATCGCTTGGTGGCGCCGTGGCGGTGCCTATATTGCCTTGGCGCCGTTATGTGAATCGCCAGGTATGAAGGCGGTGGTTGGTGGCTCTGACCACAAGCAGATTATTGTTCTTCTCTGTGAGGACGACGACGAAGAAGATCCAAAGACGATGGTGGCGTGTTGGCGTCGCACTACACCTCCGCCAAAGTGTGGATAATGACGGATGACATCAAATTTATCCCCTACTCACAAAAACATGGTTTCATATTTAAAATCAAGAGAAGTACTAAATATTAATCACAGAGCTTGACAATAATTATAGATAGTAAAATATTGAAAATTAAATTCGTAACCATCATTTAACTATTCTCTATCCTGCAGAACTTAAATCTTTTATAGTAGTATTAATTTTCCAAATCATATGAATCATCTATTTATCATAATTAGTTATCAGACTACTATATATACATATATTGTCACGAAATCATGTGATATGAACAAAACCAAAAAAAAAAAATTTTAAATCAAAATACATCAATTATAAAAAGCATCATCTAGGGCAAAAAATATAATTTGACATACCAATATTTGCGGAATTCTTCCTCATGAATCCATTTTTCAATCGTCCCCGCCTTCTTCTTCTCTTCCATTGATTCCGCATTTTGCTTCACCTTACAGTCGTAGACGGAGAAAGGCTAGACTGTACTATGCACGAAAAAAATCCAAAAAATCGGCGTGGAAAGAAAATAGAGGGGCATAGGAAACCGTAGTACACCTTTGAGCGAACCATCGATCTGCCGGCAACACTGAAACCGGATCTTCCATTGTGGTCGTCGGCGGCTTTAAGCGAGGAGAAGGTCACCGATTTAGTCGGCGGAGAAAGGGTGGTCGAATTATTAGGGGGAGGGGAGTATTGTGTGCTATAGAATTGAAGAAAGTAGAAATGAATATAGATGAGGAACGATAGATTAACGGCGGTTCAAATTAGATGAGTACATGACTATGACTAGGTCAAGAAGGGTATAATAGGATTATAATGATTTAATAATATAATATTTAAATAAATGGATTTATCTCAAAATGTGGAAAAATAAATGGATCCCCTCTAATTGTAAATGTCATATGAGGGGGTTTTCTCAAATAATCCCTTTTTTTTTTCACTTTTCAAATTTTATAATTGGGAATCCAAATCATATCCATCTTGATATTGTATCACTTAATATGAGTATTTAACAGGGAATGTGTATCGTCAATTCAATCTCATGGGCTCACCGGAAAAGGGAAGATGAAAATGGATTTCGGTTAATTTGAGGAAGAGGGCTTTTTAGAAAGGGGCTTTAAGATATAGGTCCCTAGTGGCAAAATTAATTAGAACTAAATGACAAGTCTAACTAAACATTTGCTTCACATCCTTTATATATTTTATTCCAAAAATGCTCCCACATACAAAAAATGAAATATGCACCAAATGATATTTAAACTGCATTTATAATTTTTTTCATTCTGCATTTAACATTTTTATTTTCGCATCTAGCATTTTTGTTATTATTTTTTTTGTAGAACAATTTTTTTTTTTTTGCATTTTCGTATTTTTTCCTTTTTTTTTTACATAATATTGCAAATTGTGATTTTTTAATTTTTTTTTCAGCTGTAGTCTTCTATATAAACCCGTAGGAAACCATAGTAGTCAGTAGTCATGTATAGACACTCATAGAAAACTATAGTAATCCATAGTCACGTTTTCTCAAAACCCTAATTCCTCTTTTTGAACCCTAGCCGTCAAACACCATAGACACCCATAGATACTCATAGAAATCTATAGACATAAAGTCGAAAAAACCTAGATCTACCCCACCAAACCGTAGATCTCCTCCACCAAACCCTAGATCTGTGACGCCAACATCACCACGCCGCTAAAAATGCCACAAAACACCACCCACGCTGCCATAACCGCCCACAACGTCGAGCACCACCGACACCATCCCCAGCCCCCGAGCGCCGCCCCCCGACGCCGCCCTCATGACCAACCCCGCCCCAGAGCCGCCGTCGCCGCCCTAGAGCCGCCGCCGCCATCACCATCCATCCCCCATGCCACCGTCTCCAACATCATAGTCGCACAACGTCGAGCACCACCGACACCATCCCCAGCCCCCGAGCGCCGCCCCCCACCGCTGCCCTCCTGACGAACGCCGCTCACCGCCACCGCCGCCCCAGAGCCGCGGCCCGCCATCACCATCCCTCTCCCCATGCCACCGCCTCCAACATCATAGTCGATTCCATCGTCACAACCACCGACCCCTCTCAAATCATGACATGGAGTGTGGCGAGAAAGATATCTTGAGATTGAGAGAAATAAATCGAGAGAGCGAGATAGAGAAAGCCAGAGAGAGAGAGCGAGACAGAAAGAACGAGAGAAAGAAGAACAAAGAGGAAAAATAGATCTGAGAAGAAACGTGAATATGTTGGTTATAAGATTTAGGGTGTAAAGGCAAGATAGGGATTAAAAAAAATTAAGGATGTGGGTCATATAAATTTTCAATCTAAGGATTTAATTAAAAAATTGAATTTAGACTTGTCATTTAGTTCAAATTAGGTTTCGTATGAGGGACTCCTAGCATATTACCCCTTTTAGAAATGCTAAGGACTAAATTGAGAGAAGACTTCTTTTTGGAGTCAATTCTGTATTTTTTATTAAAGGGTATTTGGGTCTTTTCATGTAAAAAACACACTCTCAAGGCGTATTATCGACACGATCAACTCGAAAGAGCTTTATTGCAGAGCCGGCCTTGGGGGTAAGCCAGGGAAGCCATGGCTTAGGGCCCCACCCCACAAAGGGGCCCCACAATTTGTTTCATAAATCACTATATAGCCCCAATAATTAGTTATATAGCACATTTTAGTCCTTAAATATTTTATTAAATGCTATTTTAAACTATATGTTAATGGAATATTTTATAATCTCAACTATTCAAAAAATATAAAGAAAGACCAATTTAAATATTGGTGTTTTGTAGATAAATTGTTTATAAATGAATTATATAATTACTTATAGTATGTTATTAATATCCAAATGTATATGCTAATTTGTTTTTAAGATTATAATTAAATCTTAAACCAAACATCCATATCACAAAAAGATTGAAACAAACTGTTGTCGGTTGAGATGGACAATATAATGATCAATATATGTACTTTTAATAATTTTGATTAACGATTGTTTTTTTCCTCCCCGTAATGTGTTGTTTATGCATGAAATAGATGCATATATCATTATGTAGAAAAAAAAATTGTTTATTAAATAAGATATTTGTTAAAATGTGTATCAATAACAATATAATTTAGATACTATTTAAGAAAACCAAAGCGATAATATTAAACTTCGCTTAGGGCCCCTAAATTCTCAGGACCGGCTCTGCTTTATTGACTTTGACTTCTCATCATAGTGGATACATGCTAATTGTTTTAACATATGGACTTTTAACCACACTCCCAGTCGTATAGCGACGCATGTAGCTCACGATCAACTCGAATGGGATTTATTGGTTTTGACTTCTCATCAGGGTGAAAATGCTAATTATTTTAATATATGGATTTTTTACCACACTCCCAGTCGCATAATCCACTCGTGTAGATCAACTCGAATGGGCTTTATTGGCTTTGACTTCTCATCATAATGGAATAAATAGTAATTATTTTAACATAAGGACTTTTCCGATGAAACTTATCACAGGGGTACCGCTTGTTAAAAACTCCATTTCAGTTGATAAACCTCTGATATGTGAATAGGGGCATACTTTTTTATTTTATTTTTCTTTGAAGAAAAAAAAAAAAAAAAAAAAAAAAGTAAACCAAAAAGAAAAAGAAAAGATTAACGATACGGTTTATTCGAATTGTCATGGCAGATTCTCATAAGATCCACCAAATTAAACGTGGACTTTCGCAAACAGATTAAACTAAGGAAAGGGCGCCATGAATGAAGCATGCTGTTTCCACCCGACGACTTTTTGTTTTGAAATTTCATATTACAAAGATGATGATGATGATGATGATGATGATGATGATGATGATGATGATGATCGTGTCTTCTTCTTCTCTTCTCTCTCTACTCTGCAAGTTGTCTTTGAATTGATCAAATCGACAGGTTCAACTCTACTAATTTCTCTTTCTTATAATATATGTGATTGCACTATCTTCAACAATTTGCATTTCTATGTTCTTTTTTTTTTTTTGATTATTTTTTGTCCATATAAAGTAATTAATGATGTCTTCCAGGAATTCAGTAACTAGGGGTGGTTTGATGCTAATTGTGTTTGCGTGTTGGTTTAATGCGAAGGGCAGCGAAGCATTTGGGACATTCGGGTTCGACATCCACCATAGATATTCCGACACTGTTAAGGAATTCTTGAATCTGGATGGGTTGCCGGAGAAGGGTACGGTTGACTACTACACCGCCATGGCCCACCGCGATCATCTCTTCAAGGGCCGCCGCCTTGCCGCCTCCAACACCAAACGCCTCACTTTCTTTGGTGGCAACAAGACTTACTCCTTCACTTATCTTGGATAGTAAGTTATTCCCTATTTTCTTTCTTTCTTTCTTTCTTTATTTTATTAATTACCCAGGGTGTTTTATATGATTTGTTTTCGTAAATTTATATGCAGCTTGCATTATTCATTTATTAGAGTGGGTACCCCTGCTAAGGATTTTTTTGTGGCACTTGACACGGGTTCTGACCTATTCTGGTTACCATGTGACTGTACTAACTGTGCACGTAACTTCTACTTGACCAAGGGAACTGTAAGTTCCTTAATACGCCAGTCTTTTAATGTTTAAACCAACTCATTTTAATCGAAATAATATTTTACGATTTTGTTATTCAGTGAACTTACAATATTGCATGTATTGAAATTCCAGTTTTTCTTATTTAATTTTTATGCAACAGAAAATCGAACTAAACATATACAGCCCTAGTAATTCGACAACTAGCACGCCAGTTCCGTGCAATAGTACTATGTGTGGACCGAAAAGAGGATGCTCTGCCAATTTTAATGCATGTGCTTACAAAATATCATACGGGGACACCTCAAGCACAGGGATATTGGTAGATGATGTTTTGCATTTGGGTACAACTACCAATCCACAAGATCCTGTCGATGTCCCAATTACGTTCGGGTGGGTACTCTTTTTTTTTTTCCTGGAAAAAACTCTTACTTTGTTTGTTGTGATATTTCGAAGCATATAAAACTGCTCTTGATCAAGATTCTTGAGAATTCTTAGATATATATGGTAAGCATAATGAGGACAAGCAATGTTATACAATTCTTTTTTATTTGGCCATGTGGTCGTACCCAGAAATTCTTTTTTTTTTTTTTTTTTGCTAGTATACAAGATATGTTTGGATTCTTATACATTGTTGGCCATGTGGTCGTACCCAGAATTATTTTTTCTTCTTATTTTCTCATGTGCCTCTATACTAAGCTTTAACGAATATATCTTGTGTTTCAGATGTGGAAAAAACGTAACCGGTTATTTCTTGGACAGTGCTGCTATAAATGGTGTACTTGGACTTAATATGGACAGTATATCTGTGCCTAGCATTTTAGCTAACAAAGGTCTTATAGCAAATTCGTTCTCCATGTGCTTTGGCCCCGGTGGACGTGGAAGAATTGAATTTGGAGATAAAGGAAGTCCACTACAAAAAACAACTTCATTTAATCTTCAAAAATCAAAGTAAGCAATACTTGATCACTCCTTTGCTATTTCTTAACGTTTTATATTTTTTGCATCTTTACTTATCTTCCCAGCTTTCCGGCAGCCCGACTTATAATATCACTGTGACACAAATTACTGTGGGTAATAACGTGACCAATCTTCAGTTCACCGCAAATTTCGACTCTGCTATCTCGTATACATACTTCACCGAGCCAGCTTACTCGTTTATTGTAAACAATGTAAGTTATATATATAATAATGTTTTTATTATTGTCCATGGTATCTTATTTTTAGTCTAGGAAAGTCAGAACCCTGATTCTACTTTCTTATTTTGCAGTTCAATTCTCGAGTAACCGAGAAACCTTATAAAATTCCAGGCGAGACTAAGCTGAACTATTGCTATGATCTCGGGTTTGTTTAATTTCTCAACAACCTCTTATGTCAGCTGGTATATTATTTTCTGAATAATCACTTTTGCCCTCATGATTTATATATGTTCTCTACAGTGCAAATCAACAAGGGTATATAACCCCAAACTTGACCTTGACAATGAAAGGTGGAAGCCAATTTAATGTTACCGCACCAACAATTGGGATTATACGTGATGTGAGAATTTTTTTTTATTTAGGGGATAAATGGTATGAAAATATTCCATCATAAAAAAAGGGTATATTACAACCACCCCTGAGGTGTGATCAAATTCCAAAAACTCCCTTTTTGTTTGGGTAATTACAACCACCCCTCAACTATAAATCTTCTTACACGTCCAGCCTTGTGGTTTCAAATTTATTGGAATCTTCTTGATTATATGGAATATTATCACTTTTGTACCCGTTTTATCTCATTCGAGCTCTACATTTTGAAGCGACGTGATCATAAGATGTGTTGTTTGGCTTGTATACATCAGATTGTGGTGCATCAGAAACTGTATTTTCACACAAAACTAGTACAAATTAGAGCACATTCCACAGAATCTAGATGATTATGTTGAATTTGACACCATAAGGGTGGAGGTGCAAGAAAATTCATAGTTGAGGGGTAGTAAATGTAATTATTCAAACAAGAGGGTGATTTTCGTAATTTGATCATACCTGATGGGTGGTTGTAATTTACCCTAAAAAAAAAAGTGCCAACATTTTCTATATTCATATGCAGGAAGGTGGATACGCACGCGTATTGTTTGGCTATTGTCAAAAGCAGGAGTATTAACGTCATTGGACGTGAGTATTGTAACCATGTATTGAAATGAATGCTGATTTATTCACGAACTTCGTGTGTTAATAATTTGAATTCTTCCCAGAAAATTTTATGAATGGGTACCGCCTGGTCTTTGATCGCGAGGAGATGGTTTTGGGCTGGAAAGAATCTGACTGTGAGTATTTGGATTCTTCATTATTCTTTGCTAGTGTCGTAAGCATGTTATGTATGTATATATGGGCCGTGATAATGCACTCGATTTGAAATTGCATTCAACTCTTTAAAATTCCAGGTTCCGATACCAGCTTGTCCGAAACTCTACCCCCAAACAATGGAAACTCCTCGCGTCCACCACCACCACCACCACCACCACCACCACCACCACCACCGACAAACCGTGCCGCCCACTTGAGTTTCATGACTATCGGAGTACTTGCTGGGGTCATACTCGTCATTTTCTCCCACCACTTGATCATTCTTTAATTTCTTCACTAGTTTTCTACCGCAGGAGGAACATTTTGTCGATTTTTACATGAGATGGTTTGGATTATTTATGTACATGTTCTTTCCACCATTTTGTAAGTTTTTTTCCATAACACTTGCATGTATGCAATATATTATTGCATGCTTTGTTAGTTGTTTGCCGTAGTTTGTTGTCACACTTCACATTTTTCTTTGGCCGGATAATTACATTACTGTCAAAGATTTGTCTTCGAATTGGAATTCGTTTTTGAAATTCAGTCTCTAAGTATTAGTATTTCACATTGATCGTCCATTACTTCTCTAGCTGTCTTGTAGTCAGCGATCTTTTATTCTTTTTCTTCATTGACTTCTCTCATGTTTCTTACACCCACTAGCAGGTGCACGTAGGTCCCACATGTTTCATTGAGATTATTTTAGGGAACCCCTCGTATATGGGAATTATATATAATTAACCACAAAACAAATTACGACGACCATCGTCGTCGCGATCGAGTCCTTGCGGCTTGCATCGCACGGTGCCGATGTCGGTAAGGATAATGCAAGTTCTATAAAAAAAAAAAAAAAAAAACCACACAAGCAAATTACATCCTGATGCATACTTCCTCTATTTTGAAATTAATTTGATAGACCCCATTGCCCACCATGAAGTACCTAAAATGCTCATTTTAAAAATCAATTTTAAACCTTAGCCAACTGATATTCGTCTTTTATTCTCTCTCAACTCCCAGATCCAAATCTCGTCCCCATAGATCTCCAAAAGGCGAAGTTGCTTCCTCGAGTCATAACTCTCTCTCCGGTGGTTGGAATTCGATGGTTTAACTGTCGTTGGCTTCCTCTCGTCGAACTCTTTCTTCTGGTGGCGATTTCATTCAGTATGGAGCACTCGATATGATTCGGCAATCGTTTTACAGTCGGTGCATATTTCGACGATGGTGGGTATTGCTGGAGGTGTAATTTGTGTTCCGGCATTCAAAATTTGACGGGCTACCCATAGTTGGATTCCTCTCGTCGAGATCTATATTTTGATGAAAACTCCGTTCAATTTTTCTATTGCCATATTTATTTATATAATGTTTTTCATTTGTGAGCGCGGAACCTTAGGTGGTTATCGGCGGCTAGGGTTTTGGTAGGAGGCGCTTGGGGTGAGGAGTCATTGGCGGTTTGGTCTAAAATTCGTAGCATTTCGTAGCTATGGCATCTCTCTCTCTACCTTTCGATCTCTTAGTGTTTGTTGATTTTTTAGTGTTCTGATATTTCTTCAAGTTTGTTCATTTGCACCAAAAAAAAAAAAAAATTGTTTTGATTTTTGCAATTGTAGCTTAATGAAAGTCATTGATCCTCTCCTTGAAGGTGTCAAAACATTTGGTTAAAGTTACATCTGCTTCAAGTTACAGTGTTCAACAGACTGCATACATTACTGTATTTTACTATACATTACTAGTTACATATAGTAACATGTAGTTACATATGCATATATTTGTGTATTTTCGATTTGTATTTGTTGGTTACAAAGTCATTTATAATATAAATATTGAAATTGTATTTTTTTGTTGTTGGGTTTATGAATTTCTTTTGTATAAATCAGTATTCGTGTGTGTACATAGTTGTTCACTAAATATATGAGGTAAAAAAAAAAGAACATGACTACGTATGACAATAGTTTACTATAGTTGCATGTAGTTAGTTATTTTCAGTAGAGAAAACATATTAATTTAAAAAGGAAAAAAATATAAAAAAAAATTATCACAAATTTTAAATTAGAAAAAAAATATACCAATAAAAAATGATAAAATAAACAAAAAGGTTTTAAAAAAACATATATATAAATAAATCAGCGCAAATGCTAAATGCAGGACCAGAAATACTGAATGCAGTTTGACCGAAAATTGCATATAAAGACAATATATTTCGCCTCTCCAAAAGGTTATGTCAAAAGATGATTTTGGCTTGGGTTTATCCGTAGTTTATTAGGCACTAGGGGTGTACGTAAAATAAGCCCTTTTATTAATTAGTTTTCCTATGTATTTATTAATTTTCCATCTTGTATGTTTGTTGTTGTTTAAAAAATAAAATAAAAAATTGTATAAATACAAATTGGGCACATCAATTCCAAAATACCCCTCCTAATATAATTTACATCAATTTCATACACAATGTCTGAACTTAACAAATATTTCACATTGACCTCATGTTTTAATATATATTAGGCTGCGGCTATATGCAAGACTAATTTCACTTGTGCAAGACCAAATTAAAATTTTCAATGTATAAATACTATAATACCCTTATTTATTAAATAAATAAAAAATTTCAAATATGCAAGACCAAAAATTCAAAAACACAAAAAACCCTATCACAAGACCACAAAACCACAAGACCAACTCTCATCTTCTCTATCTTCCAAAATCCACAAGACTTTTCTCCTTCCTCCTCCATTAACCCACAAAACCTAGAAATTCAAAATCATCAAAACTCAACAAATCTTACTAAGATGACAAGTATGGAGTCAGAAGACATCACAATAGAAGATTCTACGATGGAAGAACCCAAGAATGTATGCATTTATGGGTTTTTTAGCTAGAATATTGATTTTCAAAAAAAATCCCACACAAACGAATTCGACATGTACAGGTCGAATTTTACAGGTAAAAATCAACATTTAGATGTCGATTTTGAGGTATAAAATTCGACATGTAGATGTCGATTTTGAGGTATAAAATTCGACATTTGAATTTGTGCTATAAATTCGACATGTCAATGTCGATTTTTACCTATGAAATTCGACGCTTAAGTGTCGATTTGTAGCATAGTTTTTCGACACCTTGGTGTCGATTTTTGTTTTTTTCTCATTATTTGTATTTGGTCTTACATGAGAAAAAAAAGCCAATTTAATTTATGGGCATACTTGTCATTTCATCTTAATAAAATAGAATCTTTTGGAATCTTTCTTTAATTTGGTCTTGCACAAGTGGAATGAGTATTGCATACAGCCGCAGCCTATATATTAACCCTAATTTTTATAATTTTTTAAAATAAAATATTTTTTTATTCAAATTTTTTTTACTTTAATTCAGCCACTGGTGATGACTTTTTCTTTTAAAAAACCTTTTTTTTTCAAAAAAAAAAAAAGCATTTCCCGCCACCACTGTTGACTTTTATTTAGTTATTTATTATTTATTTTTTTGATATTTTTTGAATTATTTTATTTTCGTGCCTTTGACCAGCCAACACAGTAACATATTGTCTTACACAATAATATTAATGTGTTCACAGTAATATTAAATATTTTTAACCTTTTTTTTCTAAAAAAAATCTTTTAAATAGTGTGACATTATCGTGCTAATAGAAATAGTACTTGTCTGATAAACTAATATTGCATGCCAAAAAATAATATTAATATAAACACAGTAATATTAGTATGTTAACAACAATATTACTGTCTGAGACAGTAATACTGTAGGCCAAGACAACAATATTAGTGTGTTAACAATAATATTAGTGTATGAGACAGTAATACTGCAGGCCAATACATTGAGATCACTATATTAACAACAATATTACTGTATGAGGCAGTAATATTGCAATCCAATACATTAAAATTCTTGTTAATGCAATAATATTATTGTGTTATCAATAATATTATTTTACAGCAGTCAAAATCTCAGGGGAAAAAAATTCAACGTCGGCGACCAACAAGAAAAAAGTTTTAGAAAAAATAAATTCCAAAAATAAAGTCAACACACGAAAAAAAAAAAAACTCAAAGTCGGAGACCGGTGGTCAACGACGGCTGATCGACGGTCACAGACTGTGACGGTCAAAATTGGGGTCTAAATTGGGTTAGGGTCAAAATTGATTAACTAGTAAATTTGGGGCTAAATTATGGTTTAAATTATGAAATTGGGGTGACTTAGAGTTTCAAGGAGTTAGGGGTTCTTTCGTATATATAAGTGAATTTTTCTTAGTTACAAATAAATGGTGATGCGTGGATATATTTACAAGACAAAATAGTAGAATGTTCTTTCTACCCTCCCTTTGAAAGTGTGAATGTTTGTTTGATAACTTTTTTTTTCAAGTCTGAACTCCCTTTAGAAACGCGGATGACCTCTCCCGAGATCTGTTCAACAACTCTATATATATTGGCACTCATCAACGAGAGCACAATATTGCTTTATAGATTGCCCTCGCAAAGCTTCAATACGATAAGAAGTTTTACTTCAATAAAAATTCTGAGATCTTCAATAACTCATGAGCCTTTATATAGGTACGAATTCAACATCCAAACCCTTGTGTGATCTCCAAGAAATCGTATAATTAGGGAAAATACAAATATAGAAATAAATATTTGCCAACAAATATATCTAGCTAGAATAAGATACATGAAAATACATCAAATTCCTAATAAGTGTAATATAAACATAGGACTCTAAATAATTTCAAAAAATAAACATAGAAATAAATATTTTCCAACCTTTTAATTCCAAAAACCGAATTTCCTTGATCTTCAATATTCGGAAATCCGGTGCCAGCAATATTGAAAATTAATTTTGAGATAAGTTTTATTGTAATGAAAAATGAGAAAAAAAAAAAAGAAAAAGAAAAAAAGGGTAGTATATATAGGCAAAGAATAATGAGAAGGTAACAAACAAGCTACGAGGACCAACTCATTAAATCACACCATAATGCATACAAAGTTACCAAGAAATTATTGAAGTTGAACCATGTGTCTATATCAATGTACATAAATTTTGTAAATCATCCCATGTAAGAGAAGTGTTCCAAAGGTTGTACAATAGTACCCAAAGTTCAAACAAACATATCACTCAAATAAGGCAAGTAGTAGGTCACCAAGAATCTCATGATTAAAGAAGGATGAAGTTGTGTGCGAAAACGGCAAGCATCACCATCACAAGTCCGTTAGCCATCGAACTCAATCGGCCAACATCGCTTGCCCGTGGTGGTGGTGGTGGTGGTGGTGATGGTGGTGGAATTAGTTTTTGTGGTGGTGGTGGCGGTACTAGTTTTTGTGGTGGAGGTGAACGAGTAGTGTTTGGGGGTATAGTTTTGGACAAGAGGGCATCATAGCCTGAGATGAATAAATTTTCAATCATATATAGCGAAAAAGGAAAAAAAAATGAAAAATGAAAAAGGACATTAAGTAATGATAATTGAAAATGAACTCACAGTTAGATTTTCTCCAACCCAAAACCATCTCCTCACGGTCGAAGACTAGGCGGTACCCAGTCATAAAAATATCTGTTATAAGAAAAAAAGAAAAAAAAAACACAGCATTAATATCCGATAAATCATCACATAAGCCTGAAGGTCGGTCGATCCACGAATTATAATAATCCCGATTTATCATTTTGCTTATAAATTAGAAAGAAGAAGGGTGAAGAAAGAAAGGGAACAAAGTGAATGTATACATGATGAATTTGGTATTAAATATGGCAAATTACAGTTTTCATCCCTCAAGTTTGCATTGATTTCATATTTGGTCCCCCATGTTTCAACAATTTAACACTTTTGATCATTTCCGCCAATTTTACCATTAATCCGTCAGTTAAGGCAGTACTGGGCACATGCTTGATTCCGTTATTACAAAAGGAAAATTGACGGAAATGACTAAAAGTGTTGAAAACATGAGGGACCAAATGTGTTTTTGTGAACATGGGGACCAAATATGAAATCGGTGCAAACTTTATGCATGAAATTTGTATTTTTCCCATATTAAATACTTAAGCTCTGTAGAAATTTAGAGTTGAAAGCAAAAAATATTCAACACACGCAAAAATTGTAACTATTCGTTACCGTCACTTCATACTCAATAACTCGCAATTGCAATTTAAGCAAACAAACTTATTGGATACTCACTTCCGATGATGTTAAAATCCTCGATTTGTACGATAGCCAAACAATACCCAAAACCACCATCCTGCATATGAATAGAAATCTCAGCACTTCTTTTTTGAACACATGGAACATCCTCATAAATTTATCCGCTGAAAAATTTCTTACCGGCCGTTTAAAATAAAGAATTGGTGCATTAATAGTAAATTCGCTTCCACCTTTCATTGTGAAGGTTATGTTTGGGGTTATAGGGTCATCTTGATTTGCACTGCATGGAAACATACACAAATCGTTAGGCAAAAAATGACGATTTGAAAATTTACGTTGATAAATTAAACGGACCTGAGTTCATAGCAGTAGTCGAAAATAAACGCGAAAGGAAATACATAGCGTTTCTCGGTTACGCGAGAATTGAACTGCAAAAGAGGAAAGTAGAATCAGAGTACATACTTTCACATGCTAAAAAAATAAGATATCATGGACAACAAATTAACATTATATATATCTATATAACTTCGGGAAAATTACAGTTTTCGTCCCTCAAGTTTACACGGTTTTCAGATTTGGTCCCCTATGTTTACAAAACACACATGCTTGGTTCTACTAGTACTAACGAAAATTTACCGTTAGTCAGTCAGTCAAGAGACTGATGGGCACATGCTTGATTCCATTAGTACTAACAAAAATGTTAAATTATTGAAACAGGAGAGACTAAATATGTTTTTTTTTTGTGAATATGAGGGACCAAATGTGAAATTGAGGTAAACTTGACGGACAACACATGTAATTTTTCCATGTAACTTACATTGTTTACAATAAACGAGAAATCTGGATCGCTGAAGTATGCATATGGGAGGGAAGAGTCCAAAGATGCGATGAACTCATGATTGGTAACATTTGTACTCACAGCAATTTCTGTCACAACTACATCATAAGTCGAGCTGCGAGAAAGATGGGAAGACAAATGAGGATGGAAAAAAAGACGGAATTTTACAGCTTTCTCCCTCAAGTTTGCACCGATTTCAATTTGGTCCTCCATGTTAAAGAAAAACACATTTGGTCCCTCATATTTCAATATTTTAACACTTTTGGTCCTTTCCATCCTTTAACCCTTAGTCCGTCAGTTAAGGCAGTGAAAGGCACATGCTTGATTCCGTTATTGCTAGCGAAAATTTGACGGAAAGGACTAAAAGTGCTGAACTTATGAAACATGACGGACAAAATGTATTTTTTGTAAACATGAGACCAAATGTGAAATCCGTGCAAACTTGAGGGACAAAAATTGTATTTTTCCCAAAAAAAAATATATAAATAAAAATAGGGCAAGGAAGCAACTCGTGCTTACTCTGTTTGTTGAAGAGTAAAGGGAGTTGTTTGTTGACCCGGACTCCCTTTATCTCCAAATTCAATTCTTCCATATCCATCATCGCCAAAGCACATGGAGAAAGAATTTGCTGTAACATTTTTGCTAGCTAAAATGCTAGGCACAGATATACTGTCCATACCAAGTCCGAATACACCATTAATACCATAACGGTTCAAGAAACTTCCGGTTAGAATTTTCCCACATCTGAAACACAAGATATATGCATTAATGCTTAAATCACACTAACAACAAACTAATATTTTAAAAAAAAAAAAAAAAAAAAAAAAAAGTACCCACCCGAATGTAATCGGGACATTGACACTGGCTGCTGAAACGACATCTGTGCCCAAATACAAAACATCATCGACCAAATAACCGGTACTTGTGGTGTTGCCGTATTTTATTTGGTAAGAACAAGCATTAGGACTGGTAGAGCATCCTCTTGTGGGTCCACACAAAGGGCTGTTGCACGGAAGTGGCTTGCTAGTTGTCGAATTACCAGGACTGTATATGTTTAGCTCCGTTGTCTGTTACATATATAAAGTTAAATAATAACAATTGGAAACACAAACACGTACGATATAAAGTCATCATAACCTTTTCAATTGAAAAAAAAAACGATATACCGACAAATTAAGTGACTTACGCTTCCCTCGGAAATGTTGAAGCTACGTGTACAGGAAGTGCAGTCACATGGTAACCAGAATAGGTCACTGCCTGTGTCGAGTGCCACAAGATATTCCACAGAAGGGGTACCCACTCTAACAACTGAATAGTACAAGCTGCACATAAGTTGGACGATATGAATTACTAAATGTATTTTCAGTTCTCTAAAGTGAAAGCTGCTTAATATGCTTAACAATGAAAATAAATAAGTGGAAAAGGGATTTAGCTGCCATAGTAGCATACGGCATCATGTGATAAAAATAGAGCAACATTATCTGATAGTTAATTTCGGCAGTAAAACTGAAAATTGATTTCCGAAGCCAATGATTGGAATCGTTTTGGTGGTTATTTTCATTTTATTTTGAGAAAATATATTTTAAGGGAATTTTTTGAGAATGAAAGTAATTTTGTCTGTAGTTTGAGATTTGAGATGAAACAACATACGATGTAACAAAAATCATGTTTAAAGGTATTGAAAAAAAGGTATTTTAGAAGAATAATTTGAAAATTAAAGTGATATTACTTTTTAAATGAATACATTTTTATATTGTCGCAGTCAAATCTTTTTACTGTAGCAGTCAAATTATGTCTGGATGGGATTTTTTTTGAAAAGCTAAACAAACACGCATTCGTTTCAAGGAAAGAATAAAATGAAATGACAACATTACAAAAAAAATCCAATAAAACAACTTGTTGGTTTTATGATGGCACGCGCACAGACAGAGTTCGTATAATTATCCCAGGTAAAGTAAGTACTACGAAACGACACAAATTAGAACAAAAAGGAAATAACTTATTACTTGTTAAGAGATCTGAGTTTGTAAGTCTGGTTGCCAGATGAACTATAGAAAGTGAGGGGTGGGGTGGTGGAGTCGGCAAGGCGACGGCCCTTGAAGAGATGATCACGGTGGGCCATGGCAGTGTAGTAGTCAACCGTACCCTCCTCCGGCAACCCATCCAGATTCAAGAATTGCTTGACAGTGTCGGAATATCTGTGGTGTATATCGAATCCGAACGTACTAAATGCTTCGCTGCTCTTCGCATTAATCCAACACGTAAACACTATTAGCATCAAACAACCAATCACTGAATTCTTAAAACACATCATTATTTACTTTATTTTATACAACAAAAATTAATAGTAAAGAGAATTAAGTGAAACCCCTCTCCTATTTCCAATCATTGAATTCTTGTGTATATATATATACACATTATAAGAGAGAGAAAGGAGAGTTGAACATGTCGAAAAAATAATCAAAGTGTACTTGATATATTTGAATAATAACAAGTGGAGAGTAGAGAGAGAAGAAGAAGACGTGATCATCATCGCCATGACAAATTCATAATGTTGATAATATGAAATTGGAAGACCAGTAGTCGGAGGCATGCGAATTGCCATCTCTAATTTGTTTAATCTGTGTTGGACAATGTCTATATTCGCAAGAGCATATGCTAATCTGGCAAAAAAAAAATATCTAAGTCGTATCAGTGGCCAAATCTCCTCTCCTAACTTCTGAGTTTACTCTTTTTTTTTTTAATCTTCAAAACAATAGTTTATCAATTTTGTGCATAACCCTGACTAGTGTCTAACGTAGACGCTCGTTGTTTTTTGTTTTTCTGGATTTGTGAAACTTTTCTAGATCGAATTGTTCCACTATTTTTGTGTTTTTTGGATTTCTTTTAGTAAAAAAGAAAGGGAAAATGAGGGATAACCCCTCATTAGGTAAAATAATTTAGTCTAGACCCAATTTATAATTGACCATTTGTAAATAAACCCATTTAATATTTTCTGAATTGTGTGACCCCCTTAATTTATGTTAATGTCCATTATGCCCTTTTTTGTCCATATTTTTCTCCCACTTTCTCTTTCTTCTCCTTACTTCTCTCTTATCCTTCATTTAATATTCTCATTCATTTCTCTTTCTTCCTTTTTTTCCTCACTTTTGACATGTTATTTTATTATTTTTATTCTCTCTCCTCTCTTCTTTCTCTTCCCCAATTTTCTCATTTCTCATATCTTTTTCTTTTATTCCTTTCTACCTCTCTCCTCTCCTCTCTCTCTTCTTTCTTTTCCCTCATTTCCTTACTTTTATTCTCTCTCCTCTCTTCATTGTCTTCCCCAATTTTCTCTCTTCTGGTATCTTTTTCTTTTATTCCTTTCTACCTCTCTTCTCTCCTCTCTCTCTTCTTTCTTTTCCCTCGTTTCCTCTGTTCTCGTTTGTTTCTGTTTCATTTTTTCTCATTTATTTTTCTCTATTTCTTCTCACTACTTTATCTTTTCTTCTACATCTCATTTTTTGGTTGTTGAAATCAATCTATTTTCTACTCTATGAAATTCATGTTATCACCGTAGATGAGATTTCTATCATGAGTATTCAATTTTATAACACATCTTTTGAAATATAATATAGTGAAGTAATGGAAAATTATAGTTGACTACCTTTTTTTTATAGTTGACATCGAAAAAATTATAGTTGACTATCCAATTTTTGTAGTTGACTCTGGCAACAATATAGTTAACTACAATTTTTTTGTAGTTAACATCGTAAAAATTATGGTTAACTATCTAATTTTTATAGTTGACTTTGGAAAAAATAAAGTGAACTATCCGATTTTATAGTTGACTCTGAGTGTAGATGACTGCAATATTTTATGTTTTTCGACAACACTGATCTCTTCTTTGTTGTGGACTCTGATAAAACAAATTTCATAGGACACAAATATTTATGAGTCAACAAATAGTGCGACCATAGACTTGTAGATCTAAAAAACAAGCTTGTTTACAAACTCCATTTTTGAGTAATCAACCATGGAAGAATTCCGAACCGCCGCATATGGTCGTCGCGTACTGTTGCATACCGCTGATGTAGGAGACTACGATTTGTCCTTTGAGAGTCGCTGAGAAGGGTGTCAAAAACAGAAATTATGTGGTAAATATACATAGATTAGGTTAATAGACGTCGAGGGGAGCGATGTGTCACGGACTTGTTCCCTTAACAAAGAACCGTGCGGCCTTAGCTCCTTCTCGCCCCTCGCGAAAGTTAAGTCAGCCTCTCTCGAATTGTGTTGCGAATCCTAAGTGATGGAAACACGAAAGAAGAACTTAAGAAGACAAGATAGTCGGTAGGAAAAATACTCTATTACTTGAGTGTTTGTTGGATTATTGTTGGATGATTACAAATGAGGACCCTACCTCTATTTATACAAGACCACCTCCTCAATGGACGGTGAAGATCGATATGATCTAACGGTTGGGAGTGGAACAATCCCTTAAATGTCTCTACCTACCACCACCTACCTCTACCTACCAAAGAATTCCTAAAATGTCTCTACCTACCACTATACAATTGGGCCAACTTGGGCCAACTTGGGTCTAACCCTATTTGGGCTATATCTTGGACTCTTTCTAACCTCCCCAACCCAAGGGAAATCGGCAAGGGGTTGGGTCAAAACTCGCGGGCCGTGACATCCTCCCCCGCCTAATCCGGCGACGTCCTCGTTGCCTCGAACAAGTGCAGACGATCTCGAAATTTCCACAAGTCTTCCTTCGTCTTCCACGTTGCCTCGTACTTGGGTAATCCATTTGATGAGGCTCCAGTAACCCTGCCGGTTGTTTATTCTCCACCTTGTCTTGTTGGCAAACAAGACAAGTCTTCACACATGCATCGACACCGTCCCGCATGTGAGGCCAAAAGTAGGCCGTCTCGAGCAACGCCATTGTCCTCATTTGGCCCGGATGCCCCGCCCACTTGGTGTCGTGGCATTCCTTTATGAGTTCCTTCCTCAAGCTGCCCCACTTCGGAACGAAGAGTCGCTGCCCCTTTGTGTAGAGTAGGCCGTCCTCTACCCAAAATTGCCTCGTCTTGCCCTCATTGACGAGTCGGATTAGCTCCTTGGCCATGGGATCATGTTCGAGCCCTTCTCGGATCATGTCGGCCAAGTTCCCCCTTGTCGAGCTAATGGTTGCGAGTTCGGGTTTTCTACTCAATGCGTCGGCCACAACGCTTGCCTTCGATGGTCGGGTCTTCCCCGTCTCGACCAACTCGTTAAGTTGCTTTCGGAGCTCCTCAAGCTCCGGCGGTGATTTGTGATAGGGAGTCTTGGCGGGTGGCTTGGCTCCCGGCTCCAACTCGATGGCATGATCCACCTCCCTCCTAGGTGGAAGCTTGCTGGGTAAATTCGGTGGCATCACGTATTGGTTGGCCTCCAAGATGGTTTGGATGATCGGTGGCACGTCCTCCTCTTTGTTGACGGGCGGGCTTTCCTCCTTTAAAGCGGCTAAGAATGTCGGCTCGCCCCGTCGAACTCCATTGGCAACTTGCATGGCCGACAGTTGCCTTGGTTGAGTGCTTCCTTCCTTAGTGGTGCCGTTGATGGCCGGCACCATGCAAGGTGTCCCCTTCTCTAAGATACAAACTGAATTAAAACAAGGCATCGAGATAGCCATTACCTTGCGGAAGAAATCCATGCCTAGCACCACCTTGAAGTCATCCATTGGTGCTACCGAGAAATCCACTTGGCCCTTCCAAGTGCCTAAGTGCAGCTCCGCGTCTCGTGCTACACCGTTGAGCGGTTGTGCCTTAGCGTTTGCGGCCTTGAGCCAACCGTCTCGTCTGGTCCACCGTAGGCCAACCCTCTTGGCCTCTTCCTCGGTGATAAAGTTGTGGGTCGCTCCCGTGTCCACCATCACCTTTGCTGGGGTACCGTTGATGCGTGCCTCCACGTACATCAGCCCCTTGCTTGATGTTGCCGGCATCGGATTAGCCTTTAACGCGTTGAGAAGTTGGAGCGATCCCATGTTGCCTAGCCCCTCGTTTGTGCCTTGCTCGGCCTCTTGTTGTAAGAGTGCCGACAATGACCCCATCTTGGGACATTGACTCATCGCGTGCGGCCCCTTGCACGAAGCATCCTCCCTTAGGCACAAACGACCTCTTATTCTCTTCAAGTTGTTGGTGTGAGGATGGTTTTTCTCCTCCCCTCGAGGTTGACGCTCGTCTTGGGTCTCGGTTGTCTCGATGGTCCCGTCCATGATTGTCCCATCTCTCTCCTCCGCCTTTAGTCGGGTTCCACTTCTCTTTTCGCAACGGCTCTCTCGGTTGATACTCGGTTAAAGACTCGGCGGCGACAATAGCTTCATCGACGGATTTGATGTCTCGTCGGTGGAGTTCTTGCTTGGCCCAGCCTTGTAACCCATCGGTGAAGTGGAAAACAAGGTCCTCCTCGGAGAGGTTGGGAATTTGAAGGGTGAGGGTGGTGAACTCCGTCACGTACTCGCGGATTGAACTTCGTTGCTTGAGTTCCCTCAACTTCCTTCGAGCCTCATACACGACGTTCTCCGGGTAGAAGTGTCGCTTGAGTTCCCTCTTGAACTCTTCCCATGTATCGATTCGGCAAATGCCTTTCTCGATATCGGCGTGCTTTCTACGCCACCATAACATTGCCGTATCGGAAAGGTAAAGGGAAGAAGTTCTTACCTTGATCGTCTCGTCGACTAGACCGATACCCTCGAAGTATTGCTCCATCCTCCATAGGAAGTTTTCAACTTCCTTGGCGTCCCTTACGCCGTTGAATCCCGTTGGCTTCGGGCAGTCCACCCTTGGACTCGAAGTAGCGCCAACGCTACCGTTAGCGGCGGCCTTTTTGCACAAGGCCAAATCGTCGCGCATCCCCTCGATGCTCTCTTGGAGGGATTGGATGATGGCCTCCAATCGATCCAACTGTTCCTCCCGCAACGCTTCATTGTCTCTAGACAAATCGAGTTGCTCGGCGACGTGAATCTCCAACACTCCCGTATCGTGCTCGAGCTTCTCGAATCGTTCGCTAAGCTTCGCTATGGCGATGTTATTCTCGAGCCTCTCGAGTCTTTCGCCATGATCCGTTAGCACAGCCTCATTAACGGTACTCTCCCCACGAGCATTGTTGTGGTCCCTCTTCTTCTTGTTGTTTACGTGGGCCTCCCTGCCACGTCCCTCGGTTACGTACGAAATATCTTCAACGTTCGCCATCGTTGAGAATTTGATCAACACAAAGCCCTTAGCCGGGCTCTGATACCACTTGTCACGGACTTGTTCCCTTAACAAAGAACCGTGCGGCCTTAGCTCCTTCTCGCCCCTCGCGAAAGCTAAGTCAGCCTCTCTCGAATTGTGTTGCGAATCCTAAGTTATGGAAACACGAAAGAAGAACTTAAGAAGACAAGAGAGTTGGTAGGAAAAGTACTCTATTACTTGAGTGTTTGTTGGATTATTGTTGGATGATTACAAATGAGGACCCTACCTCTATTTATACAAGACCACCTCCTCAATGGACGGTGAAGATCGATATGATCTAACGGTTGGGAGTGGAACAATCCCTTAAATGTCTCTACCTACCACCACCTACCTCTACATACCAAAGAATTCCTAAAATGTCTCTACCTACCACTATACAATTGGGCCAACTAGGGCCTAACCCTATTTGGGCTATATCTTGGACTCTTTCTAACCTCCCCAACCCAAGGGAAATCGGCAAGGGGTTGCGTCAAAACTCGCGGGCCGTGACAGATGGATGTCTAGGAAACTACATGTCTTTTTCTTACTACCTTTCCACCATCGTTGTCGACCTTATTTCTCAACGATTCCCACACAAACATTATTTGGGTTTTTTTTTTTAAGAAATATAGCAAATTAGGGCATTGTTGCGGCTGGGAAAGGATTTTATATATTTGCTGATTTTTTTTGCGATTTTCTTGGCACAGATATAGCAGACTAGCGGAAATTGGGGAGAGATTATATGTAGTTTAGGAAAATAACGAGGGGGTCATTGCTATTAAAAATTATAGGGGTAGATCAGTAATTGTTAATTATGAGGGGGTTTGACCCATTAAAAATAATGCGAGATGGTTAGTCCTAATATTTTTCCTAATTAGGGGGTTATATCTTATTAACCCAAAAAGAAATCCACCAAAAACCAACCAAAAAACTATTCACTCTAAGTAAAAACTTCCGTTTTTCGATTTTAAGAAAAATATGTGGACCAATTTTGAGTCTAAATGATTTTTCACAATTTAAAATAATATAATCAAATAATCAAAAAAAGAATTAAAAAAATATAATTAAATAATTTCGTTTATTTTGGTCTTTTTTTGTATGGAATAATTTTTTCACTCCAATTTTAATATTTTTTATTTTAAATGTTTCTATGTTTTTCAAACGACATTGAATAAGCTATTCACTTCTTAAAAGAATTGATAATTTTCGAAAGTAAATAATTTTTATGTTCATAATATGAACACACTAATTTGAGAAGGGCTACTAGGGCAACCCACATACACAATATAAGTTACTAATTGATTGAAATGTAGTGATTAAGATAATGTATACCACTATGTAATACGGCCAAACACTCAAAATATCACAATTAACATCATCTTAAATGATAAACACTGTAATAATGCTTGCATCTTATCATACTCAACTGCTAATATAAAACGATCATATATTTTATCAAAAAACATTGCAATTATCCTTTCATGAAATAATATTACTATAATTGGTATTTTTGAGGAATATGCCATTGAATAACTTATTATATTTTTTTAAATTAACCTTGATTCATAGGCATTTTTTGTAATTGAGATGCTTAATGTCGTTTTAATTTTAGTGATACTATTTCGATTTCAAATGGAATTTGCACCATTTTTTTCAGTACAAATTTAATTTGGAAAAGTCAAAACACAATATAAGGGGTTCTTTAAGTTGACTTTTTAATCAACTTGAATCAACTAGATTGAATATTCGGTTATCAAGTTATACATGAATGAGTTAGATGTAAAACTCATAACATCGAAGTTGTAGTCAATGTTTATTCATTATTGCATAACCCACTCGTCTAACATCCAATCTAATTGATTCAAACTGTATTAGAAAGTTAACTCAAAAAATTACACATTATGCGTTTTGTCTTTTTTCGAAATTGAATCAAAAAATAATAAAAATTGCATTCAAAGTCAAAATAATAGTATTAGTATTAAAACAACATTTATCACCTCTGATATATATATATATATATATATATATATATATATATATATATATATATATATATATATAGATATATATATGTGTCGCATAGAATAGACTTTGATATCTATATATATATATATATATTTTAGAAGGAATTAGACAAATGGGATCAAATCATTTATTTTCATATACAGTGGCGGATCTAGACAACATTTTAAGGGGGGGCGATTTTTTTAGGAAAAAATATATCCAACGGGAGGTTATAATTTTGGAGATTTCAGGGGCAGCGCCCCCGAATTTTTTTTCGGGTTATTCACAAAATATTGCTAAAATAAGTATATATTTATAATTTTGAAGTAAAAAAATATATTTTAGTAGTTGTATTTTATATTGTAATAACAAATAGAGAAAGAATATATAAAATTACATAAAAGAATAGAGAAGAAAATAAAAATAGGGGGGGCAAAAACACATATTTGTATAATAATATGCCAAAAAGCAATAAAAAAAAGTTGGAATATTTTTTTCTGGGGGGGCGGCTGCCCCCCCCTGCCCCTTAGTAAATCCGCCACTGTTCATATAAGTAAGAAAATTTTAGGTTTTAATTAAGGGGCAATTTTATAAAACTCCATCATTCCTTCGAATGATAAACTCATTTTTAAATTACATATTAAGTATAACCCTTCAAATGCAGAATGCAAAGTGGCCCTGTTGTATTGTTATGACAAATTAATTAAAAAATTGTGAATATTCCCTATTTTATATTCATTTTTAAATTACATATTAAGTATAACCCTTCAAATGCAGAATACAAAGTGGCCCTGTTGTATTGTTATGACAAATTAATTAAAAAATTGTGAATATTCCCTATTTTATATTCATATTATATTTTTATTATTTTTCAATTTTCAATTTTTATATTATTTGAATTCTTTTTTTTCTTTGTGTAATTTTCAGTTTATTTTATAAACATATGTCTTTTAAATTTTCTTTTTCCAATAGGTTTACGTTTACCAAATTAAAATACATTACACATTTATCGAAATCCACTAAAAATTTATCGAAATTTAATAAAGGTTTCCAAATTTCATTTTCTTGTACCCTCGTCTTTTTTTTTTTCCTTTTCTCCTTAATACACCCGTAAGCGCCTCAATAACTTACAACTCTTCGAACTCAATTGAATTTTTCAACTAAAAGTTGGTCAAATTGTTTTTTTTAACCAAGTTGACCAATTTCAAATCCGTACATGATAATGATCCCATTAGAATTTGGGAATTTATCAAACACAATTTTTTTTAGTTCTTTAAGTTGGCTCTACAAATTATCTTGGGTCATCTATAATTGGTTCCAAAGATAGTATAATAATAGTAACCTGTGCCAATTAAGTTAGTCGAATGAGTAGTTCAATTTCAGGCTGGATTTGTAAATATTCCATTTTAATATTATCTTGCAGTCATATAAGATTATAACGATAACAAATTATATTTGTATTTTTATTTTTAAAACATAAAATACCTGGCAAAACGAATTGCACATATATAATTTTTTTAACATTTGATGTATTCGCCAAGTTAATTGGGGATTTTTTTGGTTCATTTATTTAATCCCCTCCTGGATTTATCAAATACTTTTGACCAATTCCGTTATGTATTTTTTTATTAAATGTTATTGAAGATAATATATTTAAGGCTGCGGCTATATGCAATACTCATTCCACTTGTGCAAGACCAAATTAAAGAAATATCCCAAAAGATTC